AGGAGAAATGTTTAGGGTGTAATAGGTTTTTAATAATTTTCGAAAATAAAATCAGATTTAAAAATAATGGCAATTTGGTAAATAAGTGGAAACATGAGGAGAGTTTAGGTTTTTTAAGAGTGAATAGTAATGGACAAAAAAAAAGAGGTTGGTTTTGTGTTTGACTTGAAATTTTAGGTTGGTTTTGCAAAAACCCCAAGATTCAATTTCAGTGGTGTCATAGGGACCCGGGTAGAGATGGGACAGATATGGATCTGTGATTTAAGTATCCGGATTCGGATCTGTATTTTTCAGATATTTAGAGTTCAAATATCCGTTTAGAAATTGTGATATGTGCGGATATTTAGATTCAAATCCCTAAAAACAAAAAATTAAAATACAAAATTCTAATACATAAATTAAATATTTATACAACATTTATAAATATATTTATGACATATAATATTATTAAAATTAAATATAATATAATATTATAAGACTACTTTTTGTATATAAATATTAATATATCACATAGAATCTTATATATTAAAATAGAAGTCATGACTTCTTCCACGTATGATATTTCATTTTGGACTATCTTTTAATTTTTATTAGATTTTACAAACTTATTTATAATATTTTTTCATATCTTCAATTTTTATTTAAAATATCAATAAATATTTGAAAGAAAATTCTAACAAAATATTTTTAAAATCTTTTAGAATATTTTCAAAATAGATTTATGCAAATTATTTAATTAAATTTTTAACTATCATCAAATCTAATTAAAATTAAATTTAATTTATTTTTTATTTATAAACAAAAATTAAGAGTTATGTAAAAAATTTTAGCTATATCCCAAAACATTTCTCTTGTAGTTCTAAATTAATTAAATTTCTACATATATTTCCAAATCAGAAATAAAATAATTTTTTTTGTAAATTAGTATTGTTGCATAATTTTTTTAAAAAAATAAAATTTGTAAACATACAAAATAAAATTTTGTAATAATAATATTATAAGTTACACAAACATTATTATAAAGTTAGGTAATATATAAATAAATTATATTAGTTCATTGATAAATTAGTGTATTTTAGTATCAAAAAAATATGTAGAGTTATGCGGGTAAAGATCTAGTTATTATTAAAATTAAAAAAGTATTTTATAAACACGGATCCGGATCCGAAAATTCAGATATGAAAATTATGATATCTGAATCTAGATTCGGTTCAGACAAATCCAAAATTTACTATCCGGATCTGAAGACCCTAGATATCTTATTTTTGAAACAAATCCAAATCTCGGATCCGGGATAATAGTCCTAGCCCTAGACCCGGGAGTCATATAATTGTCACAAAGTATTTGCTTATTACGAAAATAAGACATGTTGCTTTCGTGATTCGATTAATGATAAAAAGAAATTAGGCGCGAACGTTTAACCGCCTTATGTCGTTTGATTTAATCTGCACCGTTGATTAATAAACACTCTGCCAACTTACAACCGTAGGATCTCTGTGAAAACCGACTCGGATTCTTTCACCGACTCGGATTCTTGGTTTCGCGCCTTCTATAAATAGTGGTCGCCTTCTTCCTTGGATCACTAAATCTACTCCAGCTGGATCGCTTCTTGATCGGATGATGGTTCTCTTGATAGGGTTTGTGGTTGACTGATACCGCATCAGAGACACTCATCCTTAACCTCGATTTGCGATCATCAAGGTACGTCTTCTTGTCTATGCCTAGGGTTTCAAAATTTCTGTTGATGCCGTTAGCCTACTCTTGTGTTATTCGTATTTCTCTAGGGTTTGATAAAAACGAACGATGATCAATTCTCTTTGATCTGATCAATTCTCGTTGATCATGTATGTCTTGTGATTAAAGATGAACGATCTTGGACCGTGTTTATATATTCTTGTTGCGTTACGTGTCATCTTCATAGGTTAAGCTCTTGCACGTATTTTGTTTGTGATCTCGAACGAAAAAAGATGTAAAAAAGGAAGATAAGTAGGGAGTGTATATGACCTTTGCCATGTCAGGTGCGCTTGCTTGGCAGGTCAAAGACATGTCTCTCTTTTTTACCTTTCTTGCTCATTCATATGCTTCTTGCATACCAGATTATGCTTCTTGCATACCACCAGATTATGCTTCTTGCATACCAAAAGTATGCTTCTTGCATACCACGTAATGCTTCTTGCATCACAATATGCTTCTTTCATACCAAAGTATGCTTCTTGCATATTATAATATGCTTCTTGCATACTAGATTATGCTGCTTGGATATCACGACATGCTTCTTGCATACCAAAAAGATGAACAGACCCAACATTGTGGCATCACTTGTGCCGCTCTAAATGCGGTTTGTATATGAACGAAGAGTATCATTGAGCATGGCTTGTGCTCTTTACCATGCTTCTTGCATTTTCTTATCATCGCAAGGGAACAACAAACCTGACATGGAGCCCGTACTTAGCAGAACAAAGGTATTGAATTACCTGTTCCATCTTCTTTTCAGAAACAGAACGCATATGGGAGAATTAAGCGTTAAGCTAGTGGGTCTTTAGATTTTGGCAGTTCCAGATCTGTACTCATTGCATCCTAACACTCTCCTCTTGCTCCAATGCAGTTGCTCTAACGCAATCATCTAGGTTGTCTAATCCTAGTGAGTTCCTGATTTGGGACTTGTATACCTCTTAAGTTCGCATTGGCTTTTTGGGTATATACGTGCTATGATTTTTAGGCTGTATGTATATATATAAAATATTACCTTATTTATGATCCAAAAAGTGTTGGCTGGAGTAATGTGTGTGTGGTGATACTTATTTTAAGTTGCGTTTGCTGTTTTGGGTTTACCAGGAATCGCTTTTGCAAGTGTTGTGCCCCCAAGGAAGAAACATCAAAAGAATCTTCACTTCTCTATCAATGTGTCGCACATATAGTCTCCTCCCAAGTAGGAAGATGGAATATACGATGAACTGTTAAAAGGTTGGTCTCTGTATCTTGCGGATTTGCAAGTGATTTTTGTTAATCACTGTCTTCAACCGTAAGTTTTTTTGGTAATGACTGAAGTTGGATTCTAACACTTCAATGTTCATTAGCCTGTCTGATTCATAACTTATATTAATGGCTTTTGTGTGAATGTTACTTGTCCTAAACTCCTAATTAATTGCATGCAGACGGAAATATATTTTTCTGGACCGTCTAATGAGCAAGCCCTCGTCTGTACATATACTTTTGACTATACACGAGAAAGTTAGAAAGTGAATCTCTTTATATGCAATCTGCAAGAAAGTTAGACTGCTTAAGACGAGACTGTAGCCTCATATAATATAGGTAGGTCTCTTTATATTTTTGATTTTCTCGATTCTCTTAACAAAGTGAATAATAAAAGCTTAGACTTTATTGCCCAAGATCTTGGAGGCCTTAAAGTGGAAAAGAAATCTTAGAGCTGTAAAGTGGACAGTCACATACACACACCAAGTGTTTGGTTTTGCATCTCTTATTCACGTAAAAGCTCGGGATATGAATATATTTTCACATTAAGTGACCATGTGTTTTGAGCTAAGGTTCAACATCTAACGAGAAAGACGACGCAACACTACTAGGGGCTGAACCAGTAAGACCAATGGTCCACGAGTCAGCCATATCCATTCCTTCTTCCTCTTCATCATCACCATTGTGGTTTTCAATTTTTACATCTTGGGATGAAGATATCTTCTCTAACTCGGTGAACACTTCTCTCATGTATGGCCGCTTCTTTCCCTTTGAATTCAGACATCTCCTTGCTAGATTCGCCACTGCCATTACTTGTTCCGGTTTACATGCATCTCTTATTCGAGCATCCATAATATCAAAGAATTTGTCCTCCTTCATTGCATCTCTGAAATGATCCGCTAACCCTTTTATTTCTTGAGAATTTGAAAGGGTCACTACAGGCTTCTCTCCTGTGATAAGCTCAACAAGGACGACCCCAAAGCTATAAACGTCACTCTTATCAGTGTATTGGCTAGATCTGTAGTATTCAGGATCCATGTATCCCACTGTACCTGAAACAAGTGTGGTCCAAGACACCTTGGCTCGATATTTCTCGTCTAGTAATATGTTAGTTGACTTGATAAATTGGAGAAGACGCAGCAGAATGCAAATAAGAGAGAGCTCCTGCTATGTCTACAGCAATGCGTAGACGCACCCCCTATATCATTGTGTAGTCATCAGATTCTTCATGGATATGCTGGAAAAGGTTACCGTTGGGGATAAACTCGTAAACAAGAACGGGAACTTCTGTCTCAAGGCAACATCCCAAGAGCTTGACAACATATCTATGGTTAACCTGCGAGAGAATGACAACCTCATTGATGAACTCTTCTAGTTTGTCTTCATCCACTGCTTTGGATTTCTTGACAGCTACTGTTCTTCCATCTACAAGCATTCCGTTGTACACAGTGCCTTGACCACCCTGTCCGAGTATCCTGTTTTCGCTGAAGTTTTCAGTGGCTTTTTCAAGCTCTTTCGAGGTGAATATTCTTGCCTTCTCTATGTTGCCTTTATTTGTATTTAAATGTTGCTGCAACAGTAGTCCCCCGTTACGTTTGAAAAACTTCTTTTTCTTCTGAGTTATCCTTCTCTTCTTAAGATATTTTCTCAACCACCAAATTCCACTTACTAGTACTAAGATGCCAAAACCTGAACCCACTCCTGTAAAAGAAACAAAAAGATTTTGTTGATCACCATTCACTGGAAGTTACGAAATTATATTCATAATGGTGACATACAGTATTCTGAATATTATTCACTAACATACCTATCAGTATTGGCACAGTCTTCTTTGCCACGCAATTAACACCTCCAGGCTCATTTATGCAATTTTGGCCCTTTGAACAGTATCCGCCTTCTCCATAGCGTAGAAGGCACTCATTAATATCTGGAAAATGGATATGAAAGATCGTGGAAAAGTTAATTAGCTCATGATGTTTTAAAGGTGTGATACACCAGCTTAAGAATATTTACATCCTTTGATTTATATGTCTTTTGTTTTATTATAAAATGATGTTTCTACTGAAATTATGAATTCTAATATTAAATTGATACTGTGATGGATTATGTGATGGATTGGTTTCAATTTAGATCGATGCAATTTAGCACTCATTATTTTTTTAAATATATACTAGATTTTAACCCGTATAACATAACCGCTTAGATGTTTAATTTCACTTATATATTTCATAGATATTTATTATATATATAATATTTTTATGTTGTCCAGAAAATAAATATATATATTATTTTAATTTTAAAAAAAAAGTTAAACATATTTTTAAAGGTTTTTAATTATTTCAAATATAATAATTTACATGTTGTACTTAATCAATTGTTTTAAACCGTCACATGTATATATCTCTTCTTATTATATATTTCTCTTCATGAATTTAAATTTATTTATTAATTAGATCAATATATGCACGAAACAACATGTATAAGATAAAATATATTAATTTATCAATTTAGAATATTTTTATCCTAATTAATTCAAAATAATAATTATTTTAATATGATATATTATGATTATAAAATAAATAAAATAGTATATAAGTTTAAATTTTCATTTATAACAATAACTGAATATACATTAATGTACAATAATATTTTATTATTAATTACGAAGTTAGTGAAAATATTTACATAAGATTTTTAAAATTGAAACCTTCTTAAAATATTTTTTTAACAAATTTGCTAGAATTTTTAGAATATATATATATATATATATATATATTTAAAATGAAAATATATCAAAAGAAATTATGATTAAAATAGTTACATAGATTTTATATTATTAATTTTAACAAAATACATTTAGAAACATCTAAAGAAGGTCTAACTAAACAATCACACATGAAATGATGTTGCGACTTCTATTTTAATATAATAGATAGAAAGATGCATTACGTATAAAATGAAATATTTTGGTTTATTTCTAAGTTATATTTCGTATTTAATATTTCCTCCGTTTTAAAACGATCTATGTTTTAGAAAAAAATTTGTTTAAAAAAATATTTTCTATTTTCAATGCATTCATTAATGGTAAATTGTAAAAAAAAAAAAAAATCATGTCTATTAAAATTCTATTGGTTAAAAATTGTAGGAAATATTAATCACGGAAAATAATGTATTGGTAATTAAAATTTGATATGTTTTTTAATAAGTGTGAAAACATTAAAACATAAAAAAAAAAATTGAAAGAGAGAGAGTATATAACTAGACAAAGACACAAAAACATACTATATAATAACCATTCCATGATAAATAGATTTGTGTTTAAAGGTTTAGATTGTTTCTCCACCAACATAATCATAAAAATGAAAAAAAAGTAAAATGAAAAATCAAATTGAAGATCAATTCCAATTAAGGTATGATCAATGTTTGTTTCTTTTTTTTTTTTAATTAAAAACATATTAGGACTGAACTGAAACAAATCTAATTGATCATGGGATAAATTTATTATGGAAATCATAAAAATGTTTCACACTCTAGACAGGAAGATTTGCAATCCTAACGAGATGTTTAGACACACAAACAAGACAGAAGTTATGATGCGGCCATCAAACCAGTAGCTGAACCGGAGGTCCATCTAACACCCCACTCACCCAACCAAGGCGTTAAGCAGAACATATGTGCACTAAAAATGCCATATCTCTTAAACCAGGAGGATTTAAATCATGGAACCAATTTTCATGGATTCTACACTCAAGAAGAAGTCCAGCCCAGTTTGAATTTCGAAGAAATATTCACAGACCAAGGAGTTATGAGTTTTAGAAGTTGGAGGTTTCCCAGCCCACCCGATTGCGATTATCCGTGTTTAGAAGAGGAGTTAAGCCCAACCAAGAAGCGGATCATGCCATGGCCAATTATGGAGTTCAAGAGGGATCTTTTGTGGATCCAGGAAGCCCAAAATCAAGAGAAAAGAACGAGCCAAACCAAAGTTATAACCAGTTTCCCTAAACCGGTTATTAGGAGCCGATTATGGAAAGATTGCTTGATCCTTTGGTCCAACCCATTTCAAACCGAGATCAGGCAACCAGGATACAATCCAGACGAACCAAGACTTCCAGAAGACCAATCCAGCCAACCAGGAGTGCCCCTATTCAGCTTACCATACACCAGCAAGTATGGGAACAAGAAGATCTGCATTTACAGCTACTTGCCTTTTCCGAATTTATTCTTTCTTGCAAGAATAAATGACCAACGGCTCTTTCCCTTTGAAGCAGAAGAAGTCAAGACCAAAGTGAGTATATTCAGTCATCAGAGACTCCTATTTCGTGGATACAAAACCAAGATATCAAGGTATAAGATCAGATCTTCTCAAGGCTACAAATCTGCTCCAAAAACTAGTTTATTGGAGACAAGACCCATTGTATTTAATTTTGAGTATTTTCTTTCCATCTTAGAGTATCAGAACGTTGGGACTTGTCCCTGGTCGTGCACTATATAAGCAGACCTCATANGAGACTCCTATTTCGTGGATACAAAACCAAGATATCAAGGTATAAGATCAGATCTTCTCAAGGCTACAAATCTGCTCCAAAAACTAGTTTATTGGAGACAAGACCCATTGTATTTAATTTTGAGTATTTTCTTTCCATCTTAGAGTATCAGAACGTTGGGACTTGTCCCTGGTCGTGCACTATATAAGCAGACCTCATATCTCATTGTAGAATCACCCTTGATCATTTGAAAGTTATTGAAACAGTTTTTCTTTAAACAAAGTTGTGTTTTCTTTGTTGTTCTTTCTCTAGTTCTTAGTGTGAGATTCACCAAGTCCTAAAGAAGCCACGTCCAGGGAACCTTGTGAGATTCAAGACCATCTGTTCGTCCACTGATTGAGAGAGTCAATCCATATCCAGCAATCCCCCATCTTTCTATCCCTTTGTTTACTGTTTTTCTTACTGTTTTTGTTTAGTTCTTCATTTGTTTCTCATAAATCTAAAAACCAAAAAAATATTGTGCTTTCTGTTGTTCATCATTTGCTTATTGTTTATCTTCTGTTTGCTTTATTAAAATCCAGAAAACTCATAAAAAGTTTCAATCTTTTTGTTTCAGGTACAACAGCCTTCACCCCACCCTCACAGCCCCATCACTAGCCATCTCTGTCCCTGTTCTTGTTCAGATCCGACCCTCAAGATCATCATCAGTATACTCTGAAATCTCAGGCTGTATCATTTGGTATCAGAGCTCAAAGCTCCTGAATCTGGTGATATCTATCCTTACACCTTCTTGCTTGCATTTGTTTTATCATCTTAAATATAAAAAAAAAAAAATTGTTTGCATTTTTTTCTGTTTATTTCTGAATTGCTTGTTCTTGGTGTTAAAACCAGAGATAGGCACGAAAGAGATAACCATTTTCTTTTTTGATTCATTTAGAAAAGAAAAAAAAAATTAGAATCTTGTTTGCATTTAATTTTTAGGCTCTCTTTACCATATTTAGATTGCTTGTATATCTCTTTTCAAAAAAATATAAGAAGTTCATTCCTTGCATTTAGTATTTGATCTAGTTGCATAAACTCTTGTCATACATCTTACTCAGGCTCCTGTAGCCTTCATTCCTGTCGTGCATATCACCTTTGCATTTGTTCTCTTTATTTGGCATATTTTTAAGAAAATCGATTTATTTTTTTTTAAAAGAAAACAGTGTTCTTAGTTCTTTTGTTTTCCTTCAAAAAAAATTTTTTTTTAAAATAGAAGGTTAAGTGTTATTGTTTTAGTTTATACATTTAGTGTTTCCACTGATTTAAAAAAAAAGGGTTTTATTTGTGACTTTTCCATTTGTTTTAAAAATCTTTAAAAAAAAAAAAAGATACTAAGTTCCCAAATTTCTTGGTTCTCACTTATTCCTCTTACCTTCTTTGCTAAGGAACGAGTTAACACTTTTATTCTCTGTTCTTGCAAGGTACAAATAAGAAGAATACATAGGAGAAACCATGGAAGATTATTCAGAAGATGAGGAACCTTATGATTCAAGCCAAGACTCCAACTTTGATGAAACTGACCAAGCATGGTCTAGTGAGGAGGAAGGCTGTGATGAGTCCAAGTATGATGTTGAATACTCTTATTCAGAGTATGAAGATGACCCTGGTGAAGAGGTACCTGGGCCGGAACCACCTGATCACCCATTTGAAGCTACCAGCCCTCAAGAGTGTTATGGAGAAGATACTGGTTCTAGGATCAGTGTGGATGAGGTAGAAGAATTCCTTGGAGAGGAAACAGAACGTGATGAAGATGAAGATGACCATGAAGACTCATATCAAGAGAAAGCTGATTCCGAAATCAGTTTAGAAGAAGTATTTGAGTATGAAGATGATTTCTCGGAAACTAGTGAGCCCCATGAAGATGTTGATGGAGGAGAAAAATTCTCTCAACTTGGTGCAGAAGAAAATGAAGAAGAGTCTCATACCAGAGGCATACCATGGTGTGAGATACCTTATTATGATGAAGAGGATGAACACCAAGACGAAACTGATTCCCAAATCAGTGTAGACCACTTGGAAGAGGCCTATGGAGAAAAATTAGATTATCAAGAAGACTTCACTGAAGAGAAGGAGGCCTTAAGTGAGGCTGGAGGAAAAGTTGATCAGTCTGAGTACATCCACTTTTCAGGCCATGATCAAGGACCAGAAGCTTACCTAAGGTGGGAACAAGACTTGGAAGATTGGTTTCAACAACACAACATTCAAGAAGAAGAGAAAGCAAGCATTGCCGAAGATACTCTCACCAAGAGTGCATTTTGGCTTTGGAATCTTGATGCCAATTACTGGCTCGANATCCACTTTTCAGGCCATGATCAAGGACCAGAAGCTTACCTAAGGTGGGAACAAGACTTGGAAGATTGGTTTCAACAACACAACATTCAAGAAGAAGAGAAAGCAAGCATTGCCGAAGATACTCTCACCAAGAGTGCATTTTGGCTTTGGAATCTTGATGCCAATTACTGGCTCGATGATCACCCCTCAGAAGCTTCCTGGACAGACACGAAAGATATACTACGTGAAGAGTATGTTGTAGAAGCTGAGAAGAATGGGAAGGATTATTTTGAGAGTACCATTAAACCTGAACCAAGGCGGCTGATAATGGCAACAAGGCCAAACCATAAGGTTAAGCTCAAGATAGATCACGACCCAAGACCAAACCAGGAGTCTAAGCTCATCATCAAGGGAGAAACCGAGCCTACTCCATCAGAAAGTATCCATTGCGTGAAACCAGATTCCATTCCACAAACCAAAGCTCAAGAGCTAAGTGCAAAGCCATTGCCTAAAGTCCATGAGAAAAAGAAACCAAGTAAGTCTTCTAAATCTTCAAAACCAGTAGAACCCATTTGCTATAGATGTCATGAGAAATGTCACTTTGCTGTTACATGTCCAACTAGGCTAGTAGTGACTTCTCCTTCACTAGAAGTTAACTTGGAAACAACTAGTGAAGATATAGATCAACCGGTTTTCAAATTTCCTACTTCTGGTATAATGCACTTGTCTTGTCCAAAGAGAGATTATGCAGGTCTCAATGAGGACCAGGAGGACGTGAGTTCAATGTCAAAACCAGAAGTAATAATCCCTGAACCAGACCCACAAGCTGAACTTAATACAGCCACTAGCAGTCCATTGAAACAAGATGCTGTTTCTGTTCCAGCACATGATGAGGTACAAAATAATATAAATAAATTATTTTTCTCTGTTTATGATACTTCCAAAGCCACCATGATGTGCTTGTCTAGTTCCAAAAGGTATGAAACAGGTACCTCAATAAGCAAAGAACCTATGATGCAAAAGGTTGTCTTAAAGAGAGATGACAATGCACTTCTAAAGGAGCAATCTTTGCTTCAACACCTCTCTGAAGAAGATGTCATTACGCCCAGCAGCATCTTACTTCAGGAAGAACCCCCAGACCAGTACTTAAACAGACAGGTCGTGCCATTGGAAGCACCAATCCAGCTTCCAAATCAGGTAAGTACAACTATCCCTTGTTCAAAAATCAGTAGTTTGGGTATTGTACACATTGATTTATTATGCCCTGATAAGTATGAGAAAATAATAGGATGTTTAGAAAATTATTTTAAACATACTGATTGTCTTAGATCACACTTAGATGAAAGGCAAGAAAATTTTCCACCTACTGAAACTGGATTGCATAAAACTGATTTAAATGTTAATTATTCCATGACTGCCATAACACACTTGTCTTTTGCCAAAGATGTTGGGATTTTAACAGGAACCAAAGCTGAAGAATACCAGCCCAAGAATTCACCAGAACAGAACACAGGAGTAGTTTTGTCATTCCTACTGAAAGGAGAACCACCTGATGTGCCAACAAAGACCAAACCGAAATTGTATCATCAAGGTAAGGTTCTAAACTCCCAAAAGAGAATGAAACCTGACTTGCTCTATTGTGGTGTATCAGGTTATCCAATTTTGAGGTCAAAACCTTTACAAGAGGGAGGGAATGATGCGGCCATCAAACCAGTAGCTGAACCGGAGGTCCATCCAACACCCCACTCACCCAACCAAGGCGTCAAGCAGAACATATGTGCACTAAAAATGCCATATCTCTTAAACCAGGAGGTTTTAAATCATGGAACCAATTTTCATGGATTCTACACTCAAGAAGAAGTCCATCCCAGTTTGAATTTCGAAGAAATCTTTACGGACCAAGGAGTTATGAGTTTTAGAAGTTGGAGGTTCCCCAGCCCACCCGATTGCGAGTATCCGTGTTTAGAAGAGGAGTTAAGCCCAACCAATAAGCGGATCATGCCATGGCCAATTATGGAGTTCAAGAGAGATCTTTTGTGGATCCAGGAAGCCCAAAATCAAGAGAAAATAACGAGCCAAACCAAAGTTATAACCAGTTTCCCTAAACCGGTTATTAGGAGCCGATTATGGAAAGATTGTTTGATCCTTTGGTCCAACCCATTTCAAACCGAGATCAGGCAACCAGGATACAATCCAGACGAACCAAGACTTCCAGAAGACCAATACAGCCAACCAGGAGTGCCCCTATTCAGCTTACCATACACCAGCAAGCATGGGAACAAGAAGATCTGCATTTACAGCTACTTGACTTTTCCGAATTTATTCTTTCTTGCAAGAATAAATGACCAACGGCTATTTCCCTTTGAAGCAGAAGAAATCAAGACCAAAGTGAGTATATTCAGTCATCAGAGACTCTTATTTTGTGGATACAAAACCAAGATATCAAGGTATAAGATCAGATCTTCTCAAGGCTACAAATCTGCTCCAAAAACTAGTTTATTGGAGACAAGACCCATTGTATTTAATTTTGAGTATTTTCTTTCCATCTTAGAGTATCAGAACGTTGGGACTTGTCCCTGGTCGTGCACTATATAAGCAGACCTCATATCTCATTGTAGAATCACCCTTGATCATTTGAAAGTTATTGAAACAGTTTTTCTTTAAACAAAGTTGTGTTTTCTTTGTTGTTCTTTCTCTAGTTCTTAGTGTGAGATTCACCAAGTCCTAAAGAAGCCACGTCCAGAGAANTAGAGTATCAGAACGTTGGGACTTGTCCCTGGTCGTGCACTATATAAGCAGACCTCATATCTCATTGTAGAATCACCCTTGATCATTTGAAAGTTATTGAAACAGTTTTTCTTTAAACAAAGTTGTGTTTTCTTTGTTGTTCTTTCTCTAGTTCTTAGTGTGAGATTCACCAAGTCCTAAAGAAGCCACGTCCAGAGAACCTTGTGAGATTCAAGACCATCTGTTCGTCCACTGATTGAGAGAGTCAATCCATATCCAGCAATCCCCCATCTTTCTATCCCTTTGTTTACTGTTTTTCTTACTGTTTTTGTTTAGTTCTTCATTTGTTTCTCATAAATCTAAAAACCATAAAAATATTGTGCTTTCTGTTGTTCGTCATTTGCTTATTGTTTATCTTCTGTTTGCTTTATTAAAATCCAGAAAACTCATAAAATGTTTCACTCTTTGTGTTTCAGGTACAACAACCTTCACCCCACCCTCACAATCCCATCACTAGCCATCTCTGTCCCTGTTCTTGTTCAGATCCGAACCTCAAGATCATCATCAGTATACTCTGAAATCTCAGGCTGTATCAAGTTAGAAACAATTTTACTCACCTTCGCATCCGTTTAAGAGGTATGGGTTGCCTGTATAACCTCGGTTGCATGCACAGTTTGCATAACTGGTCCCAGAAATGGTGATATTGTCGCATACACAAGTTCTTCTGCATTGAGAATTATATGGTATACTATCTTACTCCTCTAAGTTTATGCAATTGAAGGAGTTCAAGAAGGAAAGATTTTTCGTCTTGAATACCCATTTTATCGTAACTATAGCATACCCTTTAGCGTAAAAGCTTTGTGGTTCGGTTGCATTGTATGACGTGTAGACTTCATCGGTTAAGAAAGCGACCTTGCATCCTCCACTTGTCGAGTTTCCATGATCAAATCTCTCTATTCTAACACCGATCACTTGCTGAGCCTCAGCATCATCCGGTAAATTTGCACGACAACATCCGTTACCATTATAGCTTCTTTCTTCTTCCCCTTGGTTATTTGCACAAACGCTAGAACGGTAAGCATAAGACAAAGCGTTGCTAGAACACCCGGTATTGTCTAGAAATGGGACGCTTTTTGTAGGTAAAGTCACTGTGCAGTTCAACTCGCAATCCAACTTTGTCGACCCAATGTTAGTTAACGACGCCTTGCTGTTGCAACCAATAGCTACAAGGCTGTTCCCTCTTCCAAAGAAAAAAGGGCTGTTTGTCAAATTCAGAACCTGTCCAGACTCTTGTCCATTTCTTGAACATCCAACAGATGTTATTGGGTGTTTGACTCGAAGCGATCCGAATGACGAATCGGAAGTATAATAACCACCCTCTTCTTCACCTGCAAATGAGATATTCACAACTTCTATGCCCATCTTGGTAAGGAATGGGAAAGTAGCGTTTCTGCATTCGACTTTGTACCATTCGTTGAGATAGCAACCATCTTGGATTCCAAAGGGGTACTGAATCTTGATATCCCCACATGATTCGGATTTGCACTTGCTCGAAAGAGTGAGAACTTTTGAAGCAAGGATGAGCATGAGTAGAGGGGAGAGAAGAACCGACAAGGAGTAGTTGGTGTTGCTCCTCATGATGTTGCTTCTTTTGCTGTTCAAAGCAAAGCAAACTCACAGGAATGCACCGGTTACTAGGAACCTAGGCTACAAAATACAGTTCAGATAGTCTCAAGTTTAAAAGAACTTGTGAGATGTCTCATACGACAAATTTTGGTGGTGTACGTTATCATAGCTTATCTTCAAAGTATATATAAATCAACTAATGGCGTGTTTCTGATAGCTTAAGGTCAATAATCAACGCCGTCTTGTTTGAAAGATGAACCATCAAACCATTTAATATCCCTAGCGTGCTCTATAAAATATTAATCATCACTGCATCCACTCGTTTTCAGATACCTTTGTCAGAAATTCTTGATAAAAAGTAGTATAAACTTCAAGATCAACTAGATTAATTAGTAGCGGCATCTTGATTCAATGATTCTTATATTTGCTATCCATATTTTAATCAATAAAAGGAGTAGTCCATATATTATTATTATTTTGTAGTCTGGAGTAGTCCATACATATTAATTTATGATGTTGCTCGGAACATATTGATGAGGGAGGATGATAATCTAGTGGGTGAGCCCAGCATCACAAAACTCCAAGAATATGCCTGGAAGGTAAAAGCACCACAAAAGATGTGTCATCTTATGTGGCAGATCATAACAGGTCATATGGCTGTTACAAGTGCTTTGAATCACAGACACATGAGATGTGACAACATTTGTCCACGTTGTGGAGAGCCAGAAGAAACAGTTGCACATGAAATCTTCCTATGTCCGCCTGCTTTGCAGGTTTGGGCATTAGCGAATATTCCTACCAGCTCAAATCTATTCCCATTGCAGAGCACATATGCGAACATGGATTATCTATTTTGGAGGAAGAAGGCTATAATGGAACCGGAATTAGACAGGGACCCTTATCCTTGGATAATATGGTACATTTGGAAGGCTCGGAACGATAAGTTGTTTCGGGGAATTGACAGAGATCCTCTAGAATTAGCCCGATATGCGGAAAGTGAGTGCATTGCCTGGTTCCAAGCCAATGAACAGAACATGGTGTCATCACAAGGGAACATAGATGATGCAAGTCAGGTCATAAGCCTGGGTGATATATGTATGGTAGATGGTTCTTGGACCTCTACAGATCAGTATTCTGAATGTGGCTGGGTTTGGAAGGATAGCGAAGGGAATAATCAGTTGATGAGGATGCGTAATGTTAGTAGGGTGGAGTCGGCTTTGCATTCTGAGCTGGAAACACTGCGGTGGGCAATGGAGAATATGCTTCAACATTCGTCATGCCAAAGCTTTGGGACGGATTGCAAGGATTTGATTGTGATGCTCAGCAACCCCCTTGATTGGCCAAGCTTCTCGAGGGAATTGGATAGGCTCTCGACATTGCGAATCTGCTTCTATGTTCCTAGGTCCCAGAATGCTACATCTGATTCTTTAGCTAAGACTGCTCGATCATTTTATCGGGATCTGATGTATGTTGGTTGTTCTATTCCGGTCTGGATTCCCAGACCACCTCAAGCTTGATTAATAGATCAGTCTTTCGTTGCCAAAAAAAAAAAAATTAATTTATGTTTCTCTGCACGTTTTTTTGTCGGGGATTAGAAACTCAAACCTCCTATTATAAGAAAATACTAGGTGACCAGCCCGCACCCTGTGCGGGTATATACAAATTCAAATTATGGACTTAATAATACAAAGTTTTAGAAGTAATAGATTTTATATCATAAGACCACCGTCTTTGAGGTAAACCTTCAGGCACAAAAAAATGCCGGTACACAATATTTTACATGGAGGAGATGGAACAAAGTAACTTCAGTATCAATAGGTAGTTATTGTGTGTATTTATAATTGCAACATCACAAAAAAAATTGTGTGTTGAAGGTTGAATTTTATTTTCCAAATCTGAAATTAATAGTGTGTATAACATATTTTCTATTATCACTAATTAGAATTGTATTGTATATGTGTTGTAATTCTTTATTTTAGGTGAAAATATTATTATGCATAAATTTTTCGTAAAATGTATGTAGACAGATTAAAAGAAATGTTACACATATCTCTCTCTCTCTCTCTCTCTCTCTCTCTCTCTCTCTCTCTCTCTCTCTCTCTCTCTCTCTCTCTCTCTCTCTCTCTCTCTCGTTATTCTGATTTGGGACAACCGAATTTAATTAGGTCATTAAAGATTAGTACATTTGATACATCAACTATGAAAAAGAAGATGTAATAAAACTTAAGAACTTATACGACAATAATGAGAAAATGCTTTTATTATTAATTTATAACATTTCAATAACGTGAATTCCACAAAAGTAAAACAAAAAATTCAATTAATAGAAATTCTAACAAAAGCCACAACTTAACCTATAGAAGAGTATACTATTGATAACACGTTCAAAACTTAAACAACGTCAATGAGCTTCCGTTCAAAAGCATGATTGATTCAATCTACTCCAAGTCTGAAAGAACATGTAAAAAATTATTTTACCCAACACACAATTTCTAATGACGTTTTCTTTTGATAAAAACATGAGTTTACTTAGTTTATCCGTATTTTTTCTTTGGTTGCATAATATATCTTGTGATAGTTTTTTCCAAGTAGCATTCCAAACGTTTTCTGGATTTGTGATACTATGTGTTAGTAATAGGACACAAAACAGCTTGCGTAGATCCTTTGCTGATGCCCAATAAC